TGAAAAAGAGAAATGAATGGCAAATTAGCACATGGAAGGACTCTCAGCAGTAGTGATTAGGGTACTGCAATGAGACACAACAATGCATCTAGCGGAACGGCTCAAATTAGAAAGACCAGCCAGATCAAATGCTGCTGGGAGTGTAAAAGAAGTAGAATTTATACACTGCTGGTAGGAACGTCAAATGGTAGAACCACTCTGGAAAAAGAGTTTGGCAGTTGCTTAAAAAGTGAAACCTACACCTACTGTATGACTAGCTACTTGACTCCTTGGTGTTTACCCAAGAGAAAAAAAAGTATCTATCCATGTAAGGATGTGCAGTGAATGTGTGTAGTAATATCCTAAACTGAATAATATCCCCAAACTGGAAACAACCCAAATATTGATCAACAGGTGAACTGATAAACAAAGTGGGATACACAGAGTCCATGGAACACTACTGAGCAATAAAAAGAAATGAGCTACTGAAACACAGAGCAACATCGCTGAAGCTCATAGTCACAATGCTGTGAAAGGAGCCCGATAGGAGTCCATGCTGTGTGGCTCCATTCACAGAGGTTTCCAGAAACTGCAAACAAATAGATAGTGGCAAACAGCAAGTCAGTGGTTGCCAAGGACATGGGTAAAGGTTGAGGGGTGGGGAGGGAGATATTACAAAGAGACACAAGGATACTTTTGCACAACTGGTGGCAATGACTCTTTTTTTCTTCTTTTTTTATTTTCATATAAAGGACCAGAAGCAGTAACTTTCTCTTAGTAGGGGGTGTGGGGGAAATTTAGCTTTCTGAAAATACTGAGAACCAGCTATAACCTACTTTTCTTTTCCTTTTCTTTTTCTTTCTTTTTTCTTTTCTTTTTTTTTTTTTCTGAGGTGGAATCTCACTCTGTCACCAGGCTGGAGTGCAGTGGTGTGATCTCGGCTCACTGTAACCTCCTCCTCTCGGGCTCAAGCAATCCTCCCACTTCAGTCTCTTGAGTAGCTGGGACCATAGGCATGCACCACCATGCCCAGCTAATTTTCTGTATTTTGGTAGAGATGAGGTTTCATCATGTTGCCCAGCCTGGTCTCAAACTCCTGAGCTCAAGAGATCTGCCCATCTCAGCCTCCCAAAATGCTGGGATTACAGACATGAGCCATTGCACCTGGCCTGTTTTTTCTTTTTTTTTTTTAAGAGACAAGGTCTTGCTCTGTCACCTAGGGTGAAGTGCTGTGATGTGATCACAACCCCCTGCAGCTTCAAACTCCTGGGCTCAAGTGATCCTCCTTGCCTCAGCCTCCCAAGTAGCTACCATGCTCAGCTAATTTAAAGCATCTTAAAATTTATGTAGAAATGGGGTCTTCCTATGCTGCCCAGGCTAATAATCTGATTTTTTAAAATATTAGTCAACTGTATTTTGTGCACTTCAAGCAAAAAAAACAAAGTAATTGAAATTCTAGCCATTTTATGGCATTATCATGTAACCTACATAGTATTTTCTTAAATAATGTGCAGCTGGATTCAAGTTTTATGTGTACAAAAATAGAAGCACAAATGTTCTATCAGAAAACAGAGGTGAGTATTTAAATAATCTTGGAGCTGAGGACAGCTTGTCTAAGATGACACTAAGACAGAAACAATAAAGGATGTCAGTACAGGGGAAAGTCACCATAGAGAGTGGGAAAGGCTCTGCCACACATTGCTCAGGGCAGAGACAGGCTGAAAGCATTTTGGAAGACAATCTAATAAAAGCTATTAAAAGTAAAAATGTAATATCTTCTGTATCCAGTATAGTAATTACTCAGTAATTCCATATCTGAAAATCCATCCCATAAAAATACATGTACCAATACAACAGGACATACATGCATGGCGCTCACTGCAGTTCTACTTTTAGAGGGCAAGTGCACAACACACCCACGTGTGGAACACACATAGCTAGAGTGGGACAAGGCTCTGTCAGGTGAGCTGCAGGGATCCCCACAAGCTGTTGCTGAGAGCAAAAAGCAAGAGGCAGGAAAGGAAAATTCTGAATCTGTAAAATAAATAATGACAAAGTGCATGTTTCTATGTGTATATGTGCAGACACATATGGGCCTATATGAGATTGTATAATAAGTCACAAGGAAAATATGGATATGCAAGCTCTAGGCTGCTATCATGGGCTACCAAGAGCACTGGGATTGAGGGTGGAGGGCTGAGGTATGTGGGTATGAGAGAAGTGTCTACAATAAAAACAACATACAAAATGTGATCCCATTTATGTGAATGTGTGTGTGCATAAAGAGATAAATTAGAGGATGGTTACCAAAATGTTAAAGATGGCCATAGCGGGGATATGGAGTTTTGAGTGACTATTTACTTTGTTATTTACATTTTTATCTATTGTTTGAATTCTTTAGAAATATCATGTTATTTGTATAATTTTAAAAAGCCATTTTAAGTAAAGCAAACCAGAATAAATATATATCTTAAAAGTTAAAGACAAAAGAAAATTGGAGGAAAATAATTCAACATTTTATAAAGGGTTAATCTTTATTATATAAAGAGCTTTTCCATACCAATAGGAAAAAATAAATGCCCTCCAGAGAAATGGGCAAATGATGTGAACAGGCAATTCAAAGAAGAATAATTGTTTCATGTAGTCAACCTCAACAAATATGTAAAGAAATGGAAATTGAAAAAATGAGTCAGGAAAGTAATCAAAATGAAAACTCCTTGTGTTGGCAAGGATTAGGGGACCAAACATTTCACACACTATGTGGTGGGAATGTTATTTTTGGTGGAGAGGCTAACTTGGCAACATGAAGCCTTAAAAAAATATATATACTGTAACGCAGAAACTCTATCTCTAGGAATTTACGCTATAGAAATCAACAGAAAAAAAGTACCAAAAATGCTTATGGTGTTGGTTCTGGTATTGCTATTGAAATTGGTATGGTATTGCTATGATAAAGTACAAGTATGTTTATGGTATCTCTATAAAATAATTAAAACTGCAAACAATCTAAATGGCCATCATTAGGGGTAGCCATTAAATGAAATACAATGCAGCTGTTAAAATGATGACACACACTTCCAGTTAAAGGTCATGGCTGAATGCACATGTTATGTTTACATCTCATCTTTCCAAAAGTTCAACTGAAATAATGGAAAAATAAGTAGATAAAATTAGAACTTCACTGAGAACCTGGGAGGAGTGCTACTCACAAACCAGACCCTTCAAAAACTTCTGGAAGAGAATAAAACACAAGAGATTTACTGAAAATGTAATGGAAAAAGAAACTTGTAACTCCATAAAAGCAAAAGCAAGGACCTCCACGAAAAGTTTCTCAGCAGAATTCCTAAATAACTCCTAGATAAGAAGCATCAACTAAGAGAAAACTACAGCAGTTGTGGTTGGTTGAGAAATTAGCCCAAGGGTAACGTGGCAGCAGTGCCTGCATTCAGGGGAGATGGCACTGGTATTCACATGGATATTGGTGCTGGTATTGGCATTCGCATTAGTATTGCTATTACTACTACTCTTCCCTAGATAAAGACCCCAGAAGAGCCCCCTAAAGTGCAAGGCCAGAGACAGCTGGCAGCCAGAGACAGCTGGCAGCCCGAGAGCTGACTGACCAAGAGTGGGTGTTCATGCACCCAAGAGACCATACGATCAGCGCAAACTCCCCCCATTCCAGCCTCTCTTCCTCTTCCTCTTCCTCACACAGTCACCCGAGTGTGTCCCTCTGCCTGCACGCACTCGGTACACCATCTATGCAAATGCCTGGATGAAGGCCTGACCATTAATGGAGGGAACCCACAGGACAGACACATGTTATGGAGGGAAGGGAAAGATGACTAACATTTGCTCATTCTGTAAATCTCCACATACTTGTATTTCTTTACCATTAATATATATTCATATTTATATGTATTAGTGTATACTTAAATAATTCACATATTTAATTCACATATTTAAATTTAAATTTAGATTCAAATCAATATTTATTAATATAGAACGATATCAAGAGATGTTAAAATAGAAAAGCATAATGTAAAATAGCATGGCTTTATCTTTGTAGAAAAAAAGATTTTTTTTTTTTTTTTGAAACAGAGTCTTGCTCTGTCACCCAGGCTGGAGAGCAGTGGCACGATCTCGGCTCACTGCAAGCTCCGCTTCCCGGGTTCATGCCATTCTCCTGCCTCAGCCTCCTGAGTAGCTGAGACTACAGGCACACGCCACCACGCCTGGCTAATTTTTGTATTTTTAGTAAAGACAGGGTTTCACCATATTGGCCAGGCTGGTCTCCAACTCCTGACCTCATGATCTACTGCTTTGGCCTCCCAAAGTGCTGGGATTACAGGCATGAGCCACTGCACCCGGCCTAAAAAATTGTATTTTATAAATATATGTGCTTAGCAAGAAGTGTGGAAAGATAGACACCACAGTTCTGCATGGTGCATAACAAGTGACTTTTTATTATTTTTATTTCTTTTCTGTATCTAAGGAATTTTCTGTAATGAGAAATTAATCATGAGTCTTTTTTAGTTCAAAATACAGAGCCATTTAGAAAGTTAATTGCTTTAAGTGTGATGGAAGCTGCATCATAAGTTCAAGGGAATTTACGGCTTTTTTTTTTTTCTCATCAGAGACACAGTTTCAACAACCACCAAAAAATGAAGCTGTCCATCATAGCATCAGCTATTTCAACACATTTCTGGAAATCAGAAGCCACCTGTGTGGCACAAATCTGAAAAGGAAGATGGGGTAGGGGTGCCCTTTTTGCTCTCACACTGGAGTGCGTGGTTTCTGGGTGTGAAGCCCCCGCCCTGCTAACTCAGCACTTCACAAGAAGAGAACCCACCTGCCTTGTTCTCCTGCTATGTTCTCAGAATAAACAGAATAAAACACAGCATATCAGTACGAAGCCCCCTCTTGGAAACAGAAAGTACACAGGCAAACACATGTGGAGACAAAACTTCAATAGCAAGGCAGGAAAACGGCGTTTAACAAAGACAGTTGTTTACACGACTTACAGGATGCTTGGCTGAAAGTCTTCCAGTCACAGTTCCAGTCTGATTCCATGTAGAGGAAATGGAGCCCTGTATTAGTTAAAAAGAATCAGTGTAAACTCTGGCAATGCTATGTGAAGTCAAGGATGTGGCGGAGCCTCCACCCACAACACACAACACTCACTGGTCCTCCAGAAGCCAACAAACTGCTGGCCCTAAACTTCCAACCCTGAAATGTCCTTGGGGTTACAAAATTCCTGACGTGTGATTAGGGAAGGGTGAGGAAGGAGGCTCCCCCAACCCATGTAGGAACTGCAACAAGACTTTATGTCACTCACAAATCCTGTGCATGGGGAGAGTAAGAGCTGTTGGGATGTGGGGAACTTGGCATGGGCTCAAGATAGGACTGTGCATCACAGACAGGTTCTGTCACTTGCTGTGTGAACTTGACCGAGTCACAGAACATCTCTCGACTGCAGTCTCCTCAGGTCTGAACTAAAACGGTAACATCTTCCTCAAATGAATCCAGAACAGAGATGCAATTGTGGATGTGAAAGGTGGTCAGCTAGAGCTTCCTCATAAACAGAGGGTTTCAAGGCATAATGTCAACCTATGCTGCAAGGGGACCTAAATGATACCAATATTATGGTTCATAGTTTCAAGAATATTAGATTATTTTGGCTGGGTGCAGTGGCTCACACCTGTAATCCCAGCACTTTGGGAGGCCGAGGCAGGTGGATCACGAGCTCAGAGTCTGAGACCAGCCTGGCCATCATAGTGAAATCCCGTCTCTACTAAAAATACCAAAAATTAGCTGGGCGTGGTGGCAGGCACCTGTAATCCCAGCTACTTGGGAGGCTGAGGCAGAAGAATCGCTTGGAGCTGGGAGGCGGAGGTTGCAGTAAACTGAGATTGCGCCACTGCACTCCAGCCCAGCGACAGTGCAAAAGTCTGTCTCAAAAAAAAAAAAAAAAAAAAAAAAAAGAGAATATTAGATTATTTCATCATTTACTAAAATTACAAAGGTTCTATATGTATCTGAACTCACACAAAAACCACAATCCTAATCACAGTATCTTTCTGTAAAGCTTGTTACCTTTTTCATACAAGCTAATAATCCATCTACAAAGGTTGACTTGATCTTGTGAACCTAAGGTAGAAAGACAAAAATAATCATTTTCTTTAAGTCGTAAGTCTTTTTTGGGCGGGGGAAGGAGTCTCGTTCCATTGCCCAGGCTGGAGTGCAGTGGCATGATCTCAGCTCACTGAAACCTCTGCCTCCTGGGTTCAAGCGATTCTCTTGCCTCAGTCTGAGTAGCTGGGATTACAGGCGTGTGCCACCATGCTCAGTTAAGTTTTACATTTTTTAGTAGAGATGGGGTTTCACCATGTTGGCCAGGCTGGTCTTGAACCCCTGACCTCAGGTGATCCACCTACCTCAGTCTCCCAAAGTGTTGGGATTACAGGCGTGAGCCACCACACCCGGCCGGTTTAAGTCTTTAAACAGGAATGGTGTGAATGGTGTTTCACAGAGTGCTGGGTACACGCTGCTACTATCACCTCAGATGACTCCGGGAGGCCCTGGAATGACCTTAGGTGGCACCAGGATTAAATAACACTGACCCACAGAGAAAGATGTCATTCCACTCTTTAAAAATAGATCTACTAATTCTAGAATAATTCTAGATTTACAGGACATTTGCAAAGATAAACAGATAAACAAATACTCTGACACAGTGTCTCCTGTGGCTGCCCCTTTACATCGCTGCAGGGAGAAAGGGCCAGGCTGGAGCCAATGTGCTCCCTCACAGCTGCCAGGCCCTCAGGATACAGCAGGCCACAGGCTCAGTGAATACTAGGACCTATGCTGTGGGCAGTGGCAAAAGCTATAAACGTGGTTCACAACCAAAAGAGAACTTTGGAAGGAAATGGCAGGTGTGTGAACAGAGAAAGGGAATCACCAGGGGAGGGAAGGGGGCCACTCATGAAATCTCTGGCAAATGTAAATGCAGGACGACACAACACTGCTATGGTATGGTCTTGGCAGACCTAGAAGCCAGGGAGGGGTTATGGGGGGCTTCGAGACTAGGTACTGCTGGGCGTCTCCTGCACAGCGACGACACAGCCGTGGCATGCCACCTACTTCCTTCTGATTCCTCACTGTCTTCTTCCATTTTGACTCCTGGGGTTCGCGAGTGGGGCTGATTGCAGACTTGGGTAAAATCACATTAGGGTGCAATGAACAGTGCCAGTACAAGGTTAACCTGACAAAACCCTATTCCCCCGAGAACACTGGGAGGGCTACTTCAGCCATTATGGATTTCTGTTGGCGACACAGGGCTGCATGGTTCCCCTTCATCACCTTTTACGTACAAAAAAATTAACTTACCTGCCTGTATTCCAAAATTATCTTGGGTAATGGATGAAGGTCTCGCAGAGCATTTAACTAAACATGAAAATAAACATTGCCAGTGTAATTCTTTCATGTTAACATTTTAAACACTTATTTTCATCTGGAGAAAGTCTTTGTAATAAATGGTCTAATTGAGCATATTTTCCAAAATAAAGATACATAATAAACTCAAGTTTATCAGGTGTCTTAATCCTAACCTCTTACAAAACTATTCTGATGTCTACATGGGCACTAAAAACATCTCAGATAAGCTTGGAAATAAGATTCCCCTTGAGATTTAAATGAGCGAAATCTAAATCCAGGGTAGGTAAAATACCGTGTCAGTGTCTACAAACGTATAACTCACTAACTGCATAATTTCAGGGAGGGAGTAATGGATTATGAGTTTAAAGATTAGCTTTAAAAATCAAAATATAACATACCTATAGGAAAGTGCAAGAGAGTAAGAAAAGTTTGTTAATTATCACAAAGTGAGCACAGTTGTTAACCACCACCCACAGCAAGCAACGATACATTCCAATTTCCCCAGTAGGTATTGGCTCCTTCCCCAGAGCTAACCACCACCTGGACTTCTACCACAGGCTACCTGTTTCCTGTCCTTGGTCCAATATTATTTTTTTTAGGATTCATCAATATATGAAGCACAATTTCATTTATTTGCACTGCTGTGTAGTATTCAAGTGCATGAATGTAGAATATGATCCATTCCACCTTTGATGGATATGTGTTTTTTTTCTACCTTAGGGCTATTATGAATAATGCTGGTACAGAGATTTTAGTTAATGTATGTCCACAGTTCTGTGGAATACATACATTAAGAAGTGTGAAACTGCTGCGTCAACATTAGCAGAGATACTGCCAGTTCTCCAAAGTAAACGTACCTGCTTATACCCCTTTCAGCAAAACATAAAAGTTCAAGCTGATCCACATTTTTGCCAATGCATGTTATCACTGGTGTTAATTTTAGCTGTTCTGGTAAATGAGAAGTGATCTTTCATTATACTTTTAGTCTGTATTTCCCGTGACTAACGCTGTTGGACACTATTCATATATTTGACTAATTGTATATCTTCTTTCATTAAGCCCTTGTTCGTGTCTTTTGCTCACTTAAAAAATTGGTGTGTCTTTTTCTCCTTGAGTTGTAGAAATTTGTTATTCTGGACAGTTTTTTTGTCAGTTATATATTTATGGGAAATATCTTTTCTCCTTCTGTGGCTAGCTTTTTTATTCATTTTTTTTTTAACTTTTAATTTTTTTTACATAAGGTCTCACTCTGTTGCCCAGGCTGGAGTGTAGTGGTGCAATCATAACTCACTACAACCTTAAACCCCTGGGTTCAAGTGATCCTCCCCTACCTCAGCCTCCCGAGTAGCTGGACTACAGGTGCACACGACCACGTCTGGCTAATTTTTTAAATTTTTGGCAGAGATGAGGTTTCGCCATGTTGCCCAGGCTGGTCTTAAACTCCTGGCTTCAAGTGATCCTCCTGACTCAGCCTCCCAAGGTGTTGGTATTACAAGCATGAGCCACAGTACCTGGCTTTTTCACTGTTTAATGGTGTCTTTTCGTAATTAGAGATTTTTAATTTGATTGTTGTCCCGTTTATCAAGCTTTCCCTTTATGGTTGATGCCTTTGCTGTCCTACTTATGAATGTTTACCTACCTCAAGGTCTTAAAGATATCCTCTTGTTATATCTTCTCCAATCTTTACTATTTTGCTTTTGATATTTAGATACATAATTCACTTGGAATTTATGTTTATGTGCTGCATGAAATGGGGGCCAAGAAGCACTGGCCCTTTATGTAACAAGCCCTCCTTACTTAATGCTTTGCAGTGATGCCCTATGAGACACACTCTCTCTCCCTCTCTTTCTTTTTGAGACAGGGTCTTGCTCTGTCACCCAGGCTGGAGTGCAGTGGTACCATCTTGGCTCACAGCAACCTCTACCTCCGGGGCTCAAGCTATCCTCCTGCCTCAGCCTCCAGAGTAACTGGGACTACAGGTGCACGCCACCATGCCCAGCTAATTTTTGTGTTTTTTGTAGGGATGAGGTTTTGCCATGTTGCCCAGGCTGGTCTTGAACTCCTGGACTCAAGCAATCCTCCTGCCTTGGCCTCCCAAAGTGCTGGAATTACAGGCATGAACCACCATGCCCGGCCCAATTTTATTTTTTTTTACCTTTAAGTTCTGTTGGACTTGATGTTTGTGGATTTTCTATCTTGGTCCATTGGCCTATTTACTGACCCTCGAGTCAACACCAAATGGTATTGCCTAATTAATTCCTAGTAATTCCTATTGCTTTATAATTAGTCTTGATATTCAATAGACTATGTCCTTAAATAGTGCTTCCCCTCCTCCCCCCAGATTATTTTGGTTCTTTTTAGTTTTTAGCATTTCCATATAAATCTGAGAATCAACTTTTCAATTCCTACCAAAAAAACTCCTGCCAGGATTTTAATTAAAATTGTTTAGAATCTATAAATCAACTTGCGGGAGAACTGATTATATGATTTTGATGTAATAGTGTAAACCACTAAATCATAGTGCTCTCTGAATAAAGACTGAGAACACAAGAGCTGTGACCATAAAACATTAACAGTGGGAGGTACCTTGCCTCAGTATAATCCGGAATTGCAGTTTTTGTAGAAAAGCTATCCCCAGGGGGGTGAAAGTGCATGAAAATATTTAGCCAAGAAAACAGCTTAAGATCATCTAACTCGGCCGGGCGCGGTGGCTCACGCCTGTAATCCCAGCACTTTGGGAGGCCGAGGCGGGCGGATCACAAGGTCAGGAGATCGAGACCATGGTGAAACCCCGTCTCTACTAAAAATAGAAAAAACTAGCCGGGCGCAGTGGCGGGCGCCTGTAGTCCCAGCTACTCGGGAGGCTGAGGCAGGAGAACGGCGTGAACCCGGGAGGCGGAGCTTGCAGTGAGCTGAGATTGCGCCACTGCACTCCAGCCTGGGCGACAGAGCGAGACTCCGTCTCAAAAAAAAAAAAAAAAAAAAAAAAGATCATCTAACTCTCCTTATCTTGATACCTTACTCACAAACTAACTTTCTAACCAATAGTCTCCCAGTATATCTTGACTTGAGCAGCCTGAGAACACCAAAAAGAAGTAGTGTTTGATCGCACAAACCGTGTATAAAGCACTGAGTGTTGGCTGAGGGCCAGAGGCGGAGCGCCATCCGCCGCCATGGCTCTGTGGGCTCACCCGCACACTCTGTGCTGGCTGCAGACACCACATTCTCCTGACCTCCCTTCTCACTCGTTTCCCGCTGGTGCTTCTCTCTCTGACCTTTAAAATACCAGTTTCTCGGAGTTTAACTCTGTGGTAATCTATACCGGCTGCGTACCGCAATCAACAGGGAGCTTCAAAAGTAGGCCCATGACTAGGCTCCGCCACCCAATTCTGACTCAGGGGATCAACTGTGGGCCTGGGCATCCGTGTTTTCCAAATCTCCACACAGGGAAGAGGAACATTGTCCCAGGGCGACTTTAGTAAAAATCAGCTGGCAGCTTCCAGATGTGGATTCCCAGCATGAGCCCCGTCCCACAGGCCCACTGCTGTTTTGTGACATGGCACATCAATGTCTCACATACACTTCTGTCCTAACATATCCAAGGCTGAACACTTGCCCTTGCCCTCCATAAACAGTTCCTGTTCCAGTTTTCCCTGAGTAGTGGCTGTATCTATTCCACTTGCTGACTTCTGTTCACACTCACATGAATTTATCAGAAGGTCCTTTCTGTTCTAAATATCCTCTAAAAATCCATCTGTTTTGCTCCATTTTCATTGCCATGACCTAGACTGCAGTGACAGCCTACTAATGAGTATCCCCCATTCTCCAACCAGCTAAAAGAGTAATCTTGGCTGGGCATGGTGGCTCACGCATGTAATCCCAGCACTTTGGGAGGCAGAGGCGGGCGGATCACCTGAGGTCAGGAGATCAGCCTGACCAACATGGAGCAACATGGAGAAACTCTGTCTCTACTAAAAATACAAAATTAGCCGGGCATGGTGGCACGCACCTGTAGTCCCAGCTACCTAGGAGGCTGAGGCATGAGAATCACTTGAACCCAGGAGGCAGAGGTTGCCATGAGTCAATATCACGCCATTGCCCTCCAGCCTGGGCAACAAGAGCAAAACTCTGTCTCAAAAAAAAAAAAACAGGCTAGGCGTGGTGGCTCACACCTGTAATCCCAGCACTTTGGGAGGCCAAGGTGGGCGGATTACCTGAGGTCAGGAGTTCGAGACCACCCTGGCCAACATGGTGAAATCCCATCTCTATTAAAAATACAAAAATTAGCCAGGAATGGGGGCACACGCCTGCAATCCCAGCTACTCAGGAGGCTGAGGCAGGAGAATTGCTTGAGCCCGGGAGGCAGAGATTGTAGTGAGCTGAGATTGTGCCACTGCACTCCAGCCTGGCCGACAGAGCAAGACTCTGTCTCAAAAAAAAAAAAGTGATCTTATAAAAACATATCCAACACCTATTAGAATGGTGAAAATCCAGAACACCAACACCACCAAGTGCTGGCAAGGATTTGGAGCAACAGGAACTCTCATTCATTGTTGGTGGGAATGCAAAATGGTGCAGCTACCCTGGAAGACAGTTTGACGGTTTCTTACAAAACTAAACGTACTCTTATCATTTCATCCAGCAATCGTACTCTTTGGTGTTTGCCCAGATAAGCTGAAAATTTATGTCCACATAAAAACCTACACGCAGATAATTATCTCTGCTTTATTCATAATTAACAAAACTTGGAAACAACCAAAATGTTCTTCGTAGGTAAATGGAAAATAAACTGTGATACATCCATGCAATGGAATATTATTCACTGCTAAAAAGAAATGAACTATCAGGCTATGAAAAGACATGGAAGAAACTTAAGTACCTACCACTAAGTGAAATAAGTCAATTCAAAAAGGTTACACACTGTGATTCCAATTTTGTAACATTCTGGGAAAGGCAAAACTGTGGAAACAGTAAAAAGCATAGTGGCTGTCAGGGGCTGGCGGGAGGAA